GGAGCAGCAGAGGCGCAAAACTGGGAATACACAAGGTATATATAGAATGTGAGGAATCCTGGTTTGACCTGATTGTTTGAACAGAGAAACAGTATTGACAAAGAAAGGCAAGACCCAATTGTGGAGGCAGTTTGACAGGTAGACAGAGTTAAGAGCTCATCTCTGCCACTGCCTAGCTGCATGAGCCTGGGTGACTTACTGAAACTCTCTTCCTGGTCCCTCTCCTTATCTACAACTGAGAACAGTAATAGCACCTTCCTCAGAAATTTGAGCATTAAATGCAATAATGTATACAAAACTTGAGGACCAAGAAGTGGTAGCAAATGTCATCACGATCGTTACTATCACCATTGGGGTATCCAAGACATGCCCGCCTGTTGGTGAACCTGACATATCCCCAGTGGCTAGGACTGGGCTATGAGGATTCTCTCCAGGACTGCTTCCTCACAAAGGAAGTAAAGCTCTTCCTAGTTCTCTTCCTCTCTTCAATGTCAATATTTTGTGGTAGCTAATCGGAAACCTTGCAGGTCAGCAGATTCTCTAGTGTCATGCCAAGCCAAGCGTCTCCAGGAGAAATGCTAGTGTTGATTTGTCTCAACATTGTTCTATTGTTCAGGCCCCAGATACTGTTGTGCTACATGTTCAACAAATTTTGCACTTCTCTGGTATTGGAGGGGGCATAAGAAGTAAATTTTATGGAACACACTCTATCTTCCACTAGCCATTCCCTAGCACCGTGATTTCCCTCTGATAACACACTAAAATCTCACTTATTCACAACTGTAACCACATTTGTGTGATTGCTAAACATGTGTCCCCTCCTCTATCCTGTGAGCTGGATCTGTCTCATTCATTACTGTGTCTTTAGCATTTCATACAGGGCCTGTCACATGTCCATCCCACAAACAAAAGGTATTTTAGCTGTGGACTCTAGCTAATATACTGTTGTGCGCGTGTGTGTGCCTGTGCATACAAGACACTTAACTTACAAATGAATGCTCAGCAACGTCTTGTACATGGTATCATGATTAAGAACAAAGATTTTGAAGTCAGACAGACCTGAGTTCAAAATGCAACTTTATCTTAGTGTGTCCCTGAACTGGTTACAAAACCTCTCTGTGCCTTAGTTATCCGCATATATAAAAGAAGGTCTTTGCTATTGTAAACAGTGCTGCAGTGACCCAAATGCCCATCGATGATAGACTGGACGGGGAAAATGTGGCACATAAACACCATGGAATATTATGCAGTCATCAAAAATGATGAGTTTGGGTCCTTTGTAGGGACATGGATGAACCTGGAAACCATCATTCTCAGCAAACTGACAGAAGAGCAGAAAATCAAACACCGCATGTTATCACTCATAGGCGGGTGTTGAACAATGAGAACACATGGACACAGGGAAGGGAGCACTACACACTGGGGTCTGTTGGGGGGAAATAGGGGTGGGACAGTGGAGGGTGGGGAGTTGGGGAGAGATAGCATGGGGAGAAATGCCAGATATAGGTGAAGGGGAGGAAGACAGCTAATCACACTGCCATGTGTGTACCTATGCAACTATCTTGCATGTTCTTCAAATGTACCCAAAAACCTAAAATGCAGTAAAAAAAAGAAGGAATCAGAATTCCTACTTCATAGGCTGTTTTCACAACTAAATGAAATAAAACATGTAAAGCACAGGGTCTGCGGTATTATAAGCTTTCCATCAACAGTAATTATTAATACCAGTAAATGCTTTTACCAAAGGAATGAAAATAATTCCTGGAGCTGCTATTAAACCTTGAATATGCATAGATATGTCATGAACTACAAAGCGCTATGCCAATATATAATCTGTACTTTGCCCTCTGTATGCTGCCTAAAGCTGGCACTCCACAAACTAATGGCGGTAGGTCAATTAAAGAAGTCATCTTTCATTTCACATATGTCTTGTGAAAGTGTCATTTTGAGGCTTTACAGTGTTACTACACTGGCCTCCCAATGTGCCAAATATTTGGGAAACAGATTCCTACATATAATATTGAAAGGCGCCATAAATATATACAATTTTGTTGTCGATTTAAACATTTTAAATAGACGAGTTTAAAAAAAAGAAAATGCAAACATTCTTTATGTCTTTTAGTCTGCATGCTCTGTACTCTTCGGTCCCAAATTCTCAAGAGTCTTAATAGATGAGATGTGACTGGCCAGCACTGAAGCAGTGCATGCTGATAATGAAAATAGTGACTGGCATGTTTTGAGGACCTACTGTGTACCAAGCTTACATGCCAACAGCGTAGCTCCTCATTTTGCAGATGGGAAAACTAAAGCTGGAGTAGTAAATAAAATGTTCACAGCTAATAGCTGGCAGAGGCAGGAATTGATGACTGCAGAGCACAATTTTCTAAGCCCGTCCACTTTACTGCCTCTGGGTCAGGTGTTTTACTTGGAATTTCCAAGCCCCCAGTACTGATGAGATGGCTGTTAGTTGAAACTAATGTGAAAATTTTCCTCCCATCTAGTTCTCAACTATGAAGATACCAGTCAGAATCCCGGGGCCTTCACTAATGCCCAGCTGAAGCCCGAAAGATGAGGGCATAGACTAAGACACTGGTTCAGAGGCTGTAATGAGCCATGTTTTTCCGTTTTAATGATTTTTTTTAAATGTGCAGTTTCAATTCTGATTGGTTGATCAGGGTTTTTGTTGCTATTCTCTTCAATGGTTCTGTGAAAATATTAAGATTTTGGTTTAGTTCATGGCTTAATTCAGCAAGATTTGAAACGTAACTTATTATATACTTGGGCTTTTTATATAGAATTGATTATTGACTATGTGAGTGCATTGAGCAGGCAGGAAAGAAGTAGTCTTGGAGGATGAGTTAACTCAGCAACCTGCAGGCCAATGTTTGGTTTAGCCATACAGAGTCACCATCTTTGTAGGTAAAAAATAATTGAATGTCAGCAAATGCGTATGTTTCAACTTAATACTATACATGCAAGGCACCTAGAGGCAAAGAATCTGTTAACTTATCTGGCTTTGGCTCCAGTGAAGCAACAAATATTCATTGAACATTCGTGAGTAAGACTCTGAGTATGAAGATAAGTAAAAGCAAAATCCTGTCCTCAAGAAGCTTATGTCCTAGTTGAAGAGATAAAACAAACTCATGAATTGCTCAGATAACGATAATAATGTGGAAAATGGTAGCTTCGTTATAAGAGAGTACCTGAGCAAATACTAAATAAATGGCCAGACCAAGAATGACAGGATTTCGGAGAAAAGAATAGATCATTTGGGGTTAAACAATATGTAGTAGATGAGGTATATGAATCAAAGAGTATTTGGATCAGTGAAGAAGGAATCAGGCAATACAAAGAAGTGGGAAACATCAAAATATACTCTTTACATCCAACTGAAAATCAAGGTAGAAAGAAGAATTAGAGGCGATTTATGATGGGCCCCAATAACATACTGAGAAGCCATGCCTTTTTCCTGTAAATGGAAATCAGCTGAAGCTATTGAGAGAGATAAGAAGAGCCTGGATATCAGCGCAAATAGAAAATCCACACAAAATACTTTGCAGGATCAATGTACACCGCGCGGCTAACGGTTACGCTAGGAGCCCAGACCTCACCACTGTGCAGTATAGCCATGTAACAAAATCACACTTGTACCCATTAAATTTATAGAAATTTAGAAATTTTGTGAATTTTAAAAAGACATTGTAGCTATAGTTTACATATAAGGAGACCTAAGGCACAGAGAAGTATCTTGCCTAAGGTCACACGAAAAGTAAATAACTGACTGACCTTAGACCCAAGGCAGTCCAACAAGAAAGTGCCACTTTTTTTTCTTTCTTTTTTGAAGACAGGATCTCAACCTTGCCCAGGTTGGGCTACAGTGCCCCAGTCATAGCTCATTGCAGCTTCCTTGGCTCAGGTGATCCTTCTTGCCTTATCCTCCCAAGTAGCTGGGACCACAGGCATGCCCCACCATGTCTGGCTAATTTTTTATAGAGATAGGGTCTCCCTATGTTACCAAGGCTGGTCTCAAACTCTTGGGCTTAAGGGATCCTCCTGCCTAGGCCTCCCAAAGTGCTGAATACAGGCATGAGCCACCACACCTGGCCAAAGTTCCACTATTTAACACCATAAGCCAGCAAGAGAAATGAAAACGTATGACCAGACAAAAACTGGTTCATGAATAATCATAGCAGTATTATTCCTGGCAGTTAAAAAGTAGAAACAACTCAAATGCTCATCAGCTGATAAATGGATAAACAAAATGTGGTATATTCATATAATGGATACTATTACTATTGCTATTCAGCCATAGGAAGAATGAAGAACTGATACATACTACAACATGAATGAACCTTGAAAATTGTATGCCAAGTGAAAGGAGCCAGTCAGTCCCAAATGTCCATGTATTCTATGATTCCATTTATGTGAAATTTCCATGAGAATCGGAAAGCAGATTGGTGTCTACCTAGGACTATAGGAATAGGGAATGGAAAGTAGCTGCTAATGGGTATGGAGTTTTTGGGGGGAGGTAAAGAAAATATTCTAAATTTAATTATAGAGATGATTGTGTGATTATGCAATTATACTAAAAACCACTGAACTCTACACTTTAAGTACATCTTATGGTATGTGAATTGTATCTCGCTAAAGCTGTAAAAGTATTTAAGCATCTAAGATGACTCCAGGTTTTGTGCAGTGACACCCAGATACCAACAGAAACAGAGTTTGATACGTAGATATGTCAGTTCCATATCTACGAATGGGACAGGTCCCATGCCAGTCCTTCCATGAAAATGAAAATCCAGAAGCCAATGACAGCTTTTTCTGCTGCCAGAAAGCTGACAGTTTTCTATTAGCAACTTAGATTCTGTAGGCACCAGTCCTGCTTAGAAGACTCAGTTACACTGTTACCTTCCTAGCCAGTCCAAACATGTTAGAGTCAGTTGATAATGATGTAGACAGATGTGCTACATTTGTCTTGTCTTGCTTTTGTTCTGCAGTTTTCGAAGAGCCTGAAGATCCAAGCAACAGATCATTTTTCTCTGAAATTATCTCGTCGATTTCGGATGTGAAGTTCAGCCACAGTGGAAGGTATATCATGACCAGGGACTATCTGACCGTTAAAGTCTGGGATCTCAACATGGAAAACCGCCCCATCGAGACTTACCAGGTACAGAACCCCAGGCACCCATAGGTATATTGAACACTCCCTTTGTGAGCTTTTAAGTCAGCCCCTGTTTATAATCCAGCAAAATGAAAGGTAATGCATGCTGATACAGTCAGTAAAATGGCACAGGCTGTAAGTGCCACGGATTTAAGACAAAGGTGCATGTGAAGAGGCTAGAATTCAATTTAATTGATATGGACTGAGCACTCATGTGGAATGGATATTATAGAGGTAAACAAATGATTCTGCTCTCATGAAGCTTACCTTCTGATGATGAACAAGGAATTGAGTGTACATCTCTGCAAGAGATGGTCCAGCCAGGTGAGGAAGGTTTTCCCAAGGAAGTGACCCTTACGCTGAGTCTTAACTGCCATGAACTAGTCAGGAAATGCATGCTCTTAAGGTAGTGTGTTCAAAGGCCTGGAGTCAAGAGAAACGAGGTGTATTAAGGATGCTCACACCTTAAATATGAATCACAAAGGCAGAAAGATGAGCCTGGACATAGAGGCAAGGGGCTGATCCCTAGGCCCTGGTAATGTAGAGTAAGCTGTTTTGCCTGTGGACTGGGTACAATGGAAAGCCATTAAAGTTTTATACCAGGAAATGACATTGTGAGTTTTAGTTTTTACTGTGTGTTTCACTTTGCAGTTTGCCAAACGGACAGTTTACATAAGAAGAGATGATGGCAATTTGGTCTGGTAATGGTAGCGTCCAGATGGAAGGATGGGTAGGATGAAGAGTCAGTGAGGTTTGCTTGGTACTGATTAAATGTGCAGGGAGAGGAATCAAGAAGACTGTGTGGAAGTTTTGGACTTAAGTGTTGGGTCGATGGTGTAAATGCAAGGGAACAAAGGAGGAGGAATTGTTTAGGGTGGTTTTGTTGAAAGAGGAAGACCAGACTTTGAAGTAGAGAAGATTTAAAGAAGCAAAATCCAGGCAAGAATATAATGAAAGAAGAGTGTAATGAAAGCAAAGATCAAGTTGTGGGGATAAACTAACCCTATTTTAAGCATTTGGGGTTAGATAAAAAGAAGTGGGGGAATTCTACACAGAAGGATTTGATTTACATTTTTTCCTTGAGATGTAGTTTACATATCATAATAATCAGCCTTTCAAAGTGCACAATTCAGTGATCTTAGTTTACTCACAAACCACCGCTATCTAATGCCAGATCATTTTCATCACTGACATTTTTTAATGAACATTCTGGTTGTGCTGGGGAGGACATGTGTGTGGGAGGGGCGTTGGAATGAAAGTAGCCAAATTTTGATATATTTCCAAGGTAAAAGGTAATCCAAGGATTACTCCAAAATTTTTGTCCTGAGCAATTAGAAAAGTAGAGTTGCCAGTTTATTTAGATAAGAAAATCGAGAGTTTGGTTTTGGCTCTGTTAAGCCAATTAAACATCCAAACAGACACAGAAAGTAGACAGCTGAATGTGAGTCTGGATATATTTAGCTTCAAGATATAAATCTGACACTCACAAGTAGATAGAGGGTATTTAAAGCCACAGGACTGGATGAGATCTTCTAGGCAATTAGTATAATTAAAGAAGAGGTTATAAAATATGACCTAGTTGAGAATAGGAAGAGGAGTTGGCAAGAGAGATTTGTGGAAACTAGCCAGTGAGATGAGAGGAGCGACTAGGAAGCCAAGAGAAGAAAATGTCTTAAGGACAAAGAAGTCACCGACTGCCGAACGCTTTGCTGAATCAAGTAAAACAGAAGACTAAGAACTCGGATTTAGTAAGTGGAGGTTATCCATAGCCTGAATGACAGAGGAATAGTTGTAGAGTGGTGTGAATAAATGTCTGATTGGGGTGAGTTCAAGAAACGGAAGATGGGAACGTAATGAGGACAAACAACTGTTTCAACAAGTTTACTCTGACAAAGAACAGAGAAATGGAAGGGTAGCTGAAATGGGATTCTGGCTGAAGGAAGTTATTACAGTATGTTTTCTACTGATAAGAATAAGCCACTAGAGAGAGAGACCATTAGAGAGAGAGAGACCACTGAAAGAGCAAAGCCCTTGAGGGAAGCCAGAGGGGATGGAGTCCATTGCAGAATTGGCCATAGATGGTAAGATGCATAGATAATTCATCTGTCAAAGGAAGGAGAGCAGTCTTCATATATAGATGAAGCAGGATTGTGAATTTTGTGATGGGAGCATGTAGGTGTTTTCTTTAGCAAAATAAATAGTAAGGTCATTAGCCGAATGGGAAGGAAGAAAAGGGGTAAAGTTTTCATCTAAGAAAGAGAAATGTTGCAGGGTGGTAGGTTTGCTCGGGGATCCACTCCAAATTTATATAATAAATTTAAAGGGAGATTAATTTGTATGATTATGTTTCTTCCCAGCCACATTCGCCAGCTTGGTACAGGTAAAGAAAGTGTAGAAAGTTAGATTTCACCAGTGATGGGGTTTTGCCAAATGAGTACAAGGGAAAGAGAGAGCAAGAAAGGCAACCTTGTTGAATATATATGCTAAGGAAGTGACCGTAATGATGCACTGCTGAATCGAAGCTGGGGGAGAGGGGAGATAATGAATTTGAAGAATTGGTAGAATCAGTGTACTAGAAGGAGTGAACTAAAAAGACAGGAGGTAACAACAGCAACAGAGTGAGACTCATTCCACAGGTACAGAGATAACAATGACCAGGTTCATAATGTGACCAAGAAAGCAAAGGACAAAACCCGTTGAATATGATGAGATCAAGTAACTGGGAGGCTAGAGTGCTTAATAAAAATAGTGGCAGGAATAGTGACCGAAGAGACAGAGGTGCAAACTTGCTTCAAGGAATGAGCATTAGGGACTGAGAACTTTTGATGGCTGAAAGACAGGTAGCAGGAAGTTTAGTTTGATGGCATGATTTCAAAGGAGTTGAGGACTTTAAATAGGAATAGGTGTCCGGAGCAGCAAGGAGCCCACCTACCCAACATTGGCAGGTGGAGTGACAGCAAAACTCTAGCTACCACTTGAGTGTTTGCAGAGGAGATCCAAATTCCAGTCAGAGGAAGAAGAAGATTGAGAGATGAGGTTGAGGATGCTGGAGACTTTGACGACTCTCTGCAGCAGGTGCTAGAGAAAGGTTGGGGAGCCAGAATTCACAGCTATATATGTAGTGGAGATAGCTTTGTTTCCCCTATGGTCCAGCACACTCCCTGTTACTGTCTCCTAAATTCTACCTCAACTTCAGGGCATGGCTCCACATCACTTGCCCCCAAGCTTTCATTTACAGCCCTTCATCTTTAGCCCAGGACTAGAGTCACCACTAGTGTCCAGCTCCATAAGACAAACTGTATAGTGTTCAAATCCTTAACACAAAAGAAATGACAGTGGGAACTAGGACCTGGGTGTGGCTACTGGGGAGCCTTGACTAGGAAGAGCAGATTTAGGACAAAGCTAGTTTTAGAATACAGTTAGCTAGCTTTTACATGAAGTAGCTTAAAGATGGTCAATAAACTCTGATTCGGTGAGCCTCCAGAACAGCATGATAGGTTGTGAGGTCCAGTGGGGAAGAATTTAGTGATCAGTTAATACAGGCAATGCTACTATTTCACGTTTTCATACATGCATTCACAGATCTCAATCATGTTTCCATGAATAAAAGGCTGCAGACTTAAGTATGATTAGCTATTTTCAAGTTTTCCTATAGAACAGGGGTTGGCAGACTGCAACTTGTGTTCCAAACCAGCCCCCTATTTGTCTTTGTAGGTAAGTTTTATTGTCACAGCCATATACAATCACTTACTTATCTTCCATGGCTGCTTCTGTGCTGCAATGGCAGAGCTGAGTAATTGTTGTAGAGACCATATGGCCCACAGAGCTTAAAATATTTACTATCCGGCCCTTTGGAGAAAAAGTTTGTCAACACTTGAACTATACGAACAGACCAATAGAGTTGGCTCTTGGTTGGCCTCATAGCAGTCCACTAATTATAGGACACTGGACTCCCAAAGTAAATATGAGAACCACTCAGTCTAGTGTCAAAAAGCCCATGCACAAGCTAATAGTATCATAGAAAAGTCATATTAGGAAGATGAAAAAAGAACATCAAATAGGATGAGTTTTAAGTTCTCTCTTGCTCCACGCTCTAGATGTTGCTTATGTATACATCTTACCTTATTTGCTCCTCTGGTAGAGAAAGGTCCCTCTGATTTGCCTATGAAGATTTTTTTCTATGCAACAAAAGATAAATACAGCATACCTTCATCACAGATGTTCTTTTTCTTTAAATGCTGTCAATTGGAGGCAGGCAGGAGCTACGCAGACCTTACGTGCAGATGAGGAGAAGTAATGCTTCAGACTAGGTTTTCCCTTGAGTCCGTCCCAAATCTTTCAAGAATTATTTACAGAGTTCTCTACTATGTCATTCCTGCTAATAGGCATACAATTCCAAAGCACACATGTGTTGATGCTTGATATTCACCTGCAGTGTTTCTATAAGACAAAATCCCAAAAATGAATGGTGACAGGTGAGGAAAGGTTCATCACAAAAAGGACATATGGAACTAGATCTTAAAAAGCTCCCCACTGCCCAGTTTATAAGCCTTCACTGCTGTGCCCTCTAAGGAAGATCCGTGAGTCAGTTTATAGCAAAGATGCCTCTGTACAAGCAGAATACAGCCTCACCCTCGCAGTCCCCAAATGCATCTGACAATGCCAACAGCACTGCTGTAGGGGAATTCCCTTATCACCAAAGCACTGAAGCTGTTACCTGACAAGGCCTGGAACTGTTTGGAAGTGAGAGAGTAAAGGTGCGAGGAAATGAATTTGCAGAATCAGAAATAACTTCCACTGTCCAAATAAGTCAGAGCTTTTCAAATACCCAAAACATCTCATGGAACATAGGATGAGCCTGACCTCATTCCTTTGCCCTAGACTTAAGCACACAACTAGGTCTCAAGCTCAGCATCCAACAGAACTGTTGAGATCAAAGGAAGAGAAGGAGCCATGGCTGCAGAAAAAAAGGAGATTGAATCATCACTGTTAAAGTTAAATACCAATACCCTTGGTAGCCTCCCTCTGCTTTTACTCAGTTCTATGTCGTCTCTCAGCCTCACTAGAGTTCATTATCACAGCTCCTGTCAAGGACTAGGACCCACCAGAGCAAGCTGGAGCCAGGTTGCTAGTGCAGCTCAGAGTGTGTGCTCCAGAGCCTGATCCCAGGGCTCAGTTCCTTCCCCTTCTATCATTTTCTTTTCTGTGTGATCTTGCACAAATGATATCATATCTCTGTACTTCATGCTCCATTAAAGTAAAGAGAATGAAAGCACTTACATCATAAGATGGCTTTAGAGATGAAATGAGGTTTTGATAGATAAAGCACCTGGCCAGTAATGACAAGCCAGCATATTGGGTATGTGTTATTATTGCCACTCTGTGCTAGTGGGTTCAGGAAGGATGACCTTTGAAACACTGAACCCAGGCTACTACTCTCTGAAGCTTATTTGTCTATTTGGCACCTACGTCTGAGTTGCTGAATGTAACTGGAGAAAAATATTCAACTATGCTTGATCAGCCTTATTTGACATTCATGTCCAAAGTCAAGTGTCTCATGGTGCCTTCCAGAGATCTGACAGTTTCCCAACCATTCCTCTCTCCTGATCACTCTCAATTGATAACCATGCTGCTGCTTTCATTGGAAAAGAGAAATCAGGCACAAATCGCCACATACTCCAGGACGACACCTTTGACCTCAGAGTTTACTTGACAGCTCCATGCGTAGACACATCTCTAAATCATTGTGCCCAGAAGTGAACATGGCACCCCCTTCCTTCCACTTTCTCAGGAGAAAGATCAGGGATTTATTTTTGACTCCTGTTTTTCTCTCCACACCTCAGAGTTGACCCAAGTCCTATCTGTTCTTTCTCTAAACAAAAGGAGACTCTGACCAGCCCCCATCACTGCCCACGCCCAGATCCAAGCCAACATCTATCACTCAGGTTATAACTGGTCTCCCTGCCTTTGTCTTTGCACCCTTAGGATTCCCTACAACACAGCAGATGATCAGTAATCCTCTCTGTGAGGTCTCTTCTTCCTCAGGATAAAGGGCCTATGTAAACTGATCATTTGCTCCCCCAGCTGCTTGCTCAGGACTCTCCCACCACACTCTCTCCGGGACTCCTGCCTATAGGCCTTTGTGTTTGCTGTTTCCTGTGCTTGGAAAGCCTCCCCCTCACCCCAAATCAAGACATCACTGTGGCTCATTCATCCCCAATGCTACCTCATCTAGTGAAGCCTTGACTGCTAGCCCTGTATAAAATAATATACCCCCCCAAGATCTCCCAGCCTCTATTTCCTTACATTTTTGTTCTATGATTTTATCACCATCTAAACATCTTATTTGTTTACTTGGTTATATAGTCTCTCCCATGACACTGGGATGAAAGCACCACAAGAATATTTGGCTACCTGCTGTATCTGAAGTGCATAGTAGGTATTGAGGAATTTGGTGAAAAGAATGGATGAATGGTGACCTCTAATGCCCATGAGCAAATCAGCTTAGAAAATGAGAATCTACCCCTTATTGAGTCCTATTGGATGCCACTGTCTACACAAGCGAGCTTGATTAATCCATATCAGCCACATGAGAAGCTCAGCAATCCATCCTAATATCCCACAGCTAGAAAGGGCCAAGCTTAGGTTCACATCCAGGGCCATCTGATTCAAGGCACATGTACAACGAAAGATTTAACAGCTCACATCAGAAGAGGAGGTATTTGCAGAAATAATAACTGTTTAAAATACTGTAATACCTCACCTTCTCGATATGTTTCCTCTCCAGGTTCATGACTACCTCCGCAGCAAGCTGTGTTCCCTCTATGAAAATGACTGCATTTTTGATAAATTTGAGTGTGTGTGGAATGGGTCAGACAGGTAAGAAAGGCTCTGTGGCTGAGGAACCTTCCAAAAGTTGCCTTGAGGCAGCGTTGGGCAATTTATCCTGAGTACAGCCAAAGGGAGGTCAAAATTGGGCCCCAAAGCCTGGCTGAAATGCATAATGTGGGCCCCTGGTGACCCTTGAAGTCATGCCTGGAAAGAAGGGAAGGACATGGTAAGACCCTTGAATCCTGTTTCTGAAGTGGCACAGATAACACCTTAATGTTAATAAGAAAGTCCTATCTTTTGCACACAAGACACTTCCAGTGCTAGGTCAACATGCCTAAATGAAGATCACTTATCCACCAGCAAATTCCAGTCTGAACAGTTCAGATTACTTCCAAGTGGGCTTTCCAGATCAAAAATTATCCCTTGAAGCTGCTAGTGGAGACCTGGCCAACAGCCCTGGTGGTTCATTAACTGAAATCTAGTCAACCTCATTTATCACAGTCCCTCAAAGTGATTTATTACTATTTTAAGGCCTTTGATTTGAACAGTACTTCATAATACCTCCCAATAGCTCATTTTTAGTTTGACAAATACAAATGATTCTCTGACTTTCGTGAGAACTAAATGCAAGCAACCGGGGGCTGATTTCGTTCCCTGATGAAGGTGGTACCAATAATAGTGTTTCAAAGCATAGAAATTCTATTATGGCAAGACATTCAGACATTTGAGCTTTTAGTGAATATGAACTGTCTGTCTGTCTGTCTCTCTCTCTCTCTCTTGCTCTGTTTCTTGGCTTTCTTTGCCACTGATCCAAAATTAAACCCCTCCTTAGCAGGCTTGGAAAGAGTCCCCACATGGCAAAGGACCCAAGGCACACTGACCAGTTGGTATAGGACAGAGAGCAAAGTAACTGTGACATATGAACAAAATCCCCCATGGGGAAAAGAAGCCAGCCCTATCATTTTATTATTTATTTATTTATATAGATATTTATTCATATATTATTATGTACATATCTGTTGCTATTGCTCAAATTTTTCCTCTATCTATCTTGGTCTTGATTCAAAACTACACTTATTAGGCACCTACTATATGCCAAACACCTTCATACACATCATTTTATTTAATCCCAGCCACAGTCTAACAAGATTATTTTCATCATTCTCATTTTATAGTTAAGGAAATTGAGGCTTAGCAAGATAAATCTTCCCAACCTCATAAAGTCGTAAGTAATAGAGACAAAAGTAAGAAGTTTTGAGTTTGAATCCTAACATCAACCTTCTTTCTATAACATCACAACTGGGAGATTTTATTTCTCTTTCAGATAAGGTCGTATTATTTAAAAAAAAAAAAAAAAAAAAACTATCTCTTCCTTGTTTAAAAGTATGTCGGGTCATGGTGGGGAAGCAAATGGCAGAGCATAGGAAGCAGTGAAGCCAACTGCCTGAATACTTATGCCCCAGAGTCAAGCATATGTAGGTTTGAAGGTGGACTTTACTGCCTACTAGCAATGTGACACTGAGCACTTAATTGTCTGTAAAACACTTTTATGGGATAATAGAAGTTGAAATGAGATCATGGAGGCAAAGCCCTCAGCACCCTGCCTGACAAGGTATTAACAGTCCACCTCAGTACACAGACACGGTTCACAACATGAGTTTGATGAGCCAGAGTAACAAAATCTAACCTTTGCCTAATTTACCTGGTACAGCTGAGGACGTGCCCAAAAACACATACCCCTTGCTGTGGCCCAATCTTGTCAGCTTTTTCCTTCACCTCTCTACACATCCCAAATCATTTGAGAAAGGGAGTTCGTGCTCTCCCAACTTTAGAAGCCAGTCAGAGCTCCACCCAAAGGTGAGTGGGAGCCAGCCCCTCCTAGGGAACCACTGTGTGATGGCATTTGCAGACATCCTCGCCCAAGGAATCTCTCTTCCCCCACCTCAGCTTGTCACCGTGTCTGAAATGTCACCATTATTCAGTACCTTGCTTCTGGAAGACATTGTTCACTTCCCTCCTGATCGGTTACAGCTATACTTAAGAGGGGATAAGTCTTGTAAAAATGTGGAAACCATCTGTCCATCTACTAAAAAATTTTTTATTTCCTCATCCCAAATGCTTTTAAAATTTGAATTTGCTTACTTGCTTCCCAGGTAAGACCATGATGACATCTGTTTTATAGATAAGTTTTCTAAAAAGGTCAAATTCTGCACTAGTTCTCAGCAGGGGAGAGGACACACCCTGGGTTCGTGCACAGTGCCACCAGCATCTCTCCCGCCACTGGGCTGATGCCATAAACCCTTAGAGGTCAGATGGCCTAGGAACCCCCTAATGGTGGCCAAGCCTTAAACACATACAACTGCTTATTGTTTTCAAAAGTGTGTCTACTTCAACAAACCTCATTCTAGTGTCACATTCCTGATGGGAGGTAGGTAGGACTGGGATCATCGAAAACACCGGATACCTTTACTGAGCCAAAGAATCAAAAGGAATCCATGGAGCAAAAGTAAATTACAAGGAGAGTTCTCACCGTCCCTCCTTTTCAAGCCTAGCCAAAAAGCTTACTGCGTTCAGTAATTTTTTAAAAAAGGCCAACAATCACACTACAGAGCCTGTCCTTATTTTTGTGGTTTTTAGTTTTAGTAAAGTCTGTGGTGTCATAAGCTGGCTATAGCAGGGTATCATTTGCTCCAGAAAGACACAATGAAGACAGGTCATTGCCTTTCTCCATAACACTCGGTCACTCCCTCTCCTCTCTGCCTTGCAGTGTCATCATGACGGGCTCCTACAACAACTTCTTCAGGATGTTCGACAGAAACACCAAGCGTGATGTGACCCTTGAGGCTTCAAGGGAAAACAGCAAGCCCCGGGCTATCCTCAAACCCCGAAAAGTGTGCGTTGGGGGCAAGCGGAGGAAAGACGAGATCAGTGTCGACAGCCTGGACTTTAGCAAAAAGATCTTGCATACAGCTTGGCATCCTTCAGAAAATATTATAGCAGTGGCGGCTACAAATAACCTATATATATTCCAGGACAAGGTTAACTAGGTGGACAAGTTATTACTTAATAATCTCACATACTGAATACTAGTCAAACAAGTTTTTAAATGTTTCTTTGGGTCTTCATTTGACACATTGACTTTAATTTCCCTATGCAGGAAATGATTGGAATAGAATTCAAAGGAGTCCAACTTTCCCAGATCCCCAGTTCTAAGAAACTTTTGTCAAATCCAATAGGTTTGGGACACTTCTGTTTAGAATTGAAAGCTGCCAGCTAACAGTAATTCTTCCATAGTTGACTTGAACTTCTGATGCTTTTATTGCCCCGTTTTCTCTGGTGGGTCCAGTGTTTTGTTCCTAGGTGTCTGCTGCGATAAAATGAGGTTGTCTGTAGTATTTAAGGAGAAAAGAGATAAGTTTTTTTTTTAATTAAGCAATTCCATTCGATTGAAAAAAATCAACAAAAAATAAACACCATTTACTCTTAGACAAATTCTTCTTGTTTTGTGAAAAAAACAGAACTAGTCATTATCTCCTGCCATGCCACCATTTTTTTTTCCATTTTCCATTTTCCTTCTTTAAACAATTTCATTTAAGCCAGGGATTTGCTACATGAAGCTGAAAAGAGGATGCAGAATGACAAGGAAAGGGCACATCAACCCTGCTATGCTCTTTTTTTTGTAAGCTCCATAGAAACAGCCTGAGAATTTGGCTAGGAAACTTGAATGCTTCAGAGGACAGAAAGAGAGCACTTTTGACACAGTGCTTCCCAGAGTGAGCTTGGCAGGGCCAGGCGGGGCCAAATTCCATCTGCTGCCTTGTTACTCTTGTTTTTTGTGCTCTTAAATGGCTCCATGTAATCCTCTACCTACATGTTCCTTGGCTTTTTTCTCTTCAACCTTTTCCAGCTTATTTATTCCATTGACTTCTAAAGGCCGAGTCCTGGTCGCTTATTATCTGGTGTTCTAAATGAAGCAGTAAGTTGGAAGCAGTGGCACCACCCCTGAGTCCCTGAGAAAGCCTGGTCTGTTCTTTTTGGGTGTTTCTCCTAAGCAGCCCCCTCCTCTCCTCCTGGTTTTGGTAACCAAAAGTAACAATCCATCAACCTTCATTGTACCTAGAACAAAATTGGCCAATAAAAATGCTGATTTGTAAAGTCCCATCAGACACTTCTACCTCACCCCAAGCTCGCCATCTGGGAAAACAGACCAGAATGCTCTCTTCTACAGAAACGAACTGTGGGGAAATCCAGCAGCTGTGACATCAGAGTGAATGGAGTCCACTTGAAGCTGTGGAAGATGGTTCATCCTTTTCCCCAGTTGAGGATCGAGGTTTATAACTTTCTAGAAAGCCATTTCCAGAATGTTCTACGTGGCACACCTCTGGGAAAGGCACTAAATACATGCAAAGGATTCACAAACTTAGGGAGGGTAGATGGGTGAAGTCCAGAAATCTGGGTCTGGGTTAATATCTCTGTATCTGTCTTGATGACTCATTTCTCCTAACTTCCATTTAGTGCAGGGTGAATGGTTTGAGATGAGAGTTTTTCATTGAAAGAGAAATTCTTTCAGTTCATAGATTTGTTAGAAGTCCTGACTTTCAAGTGTAATTTGCTTTGGAGGAGAAAGAAAATAGTGAAAGAATCATATTGTCTCAATTCTAAGCTGCTATCCGTTGACTAATAGCTTTTCGGCAAGGAAATAACTGTCACCTTAGGTAAAAAGTTTTGTAAGATGCAGCACAATTTCAGGAACATTAAAATGGGAAACAGTACATCTCAGAATGGAGGGAGCATGGGAACAAAAATGAGACTTTCTCAATGTTTCTCATTGTTCCTGCAAGGAAAGCCTCTCCTTAGGCATCTCAGGTAAAATGGCTAAGGTGGAAACCCCCTGGGCAAGATTTCTGGCCTGACTGGGAGTGTTCTTGGAGGAGACATGAAAGAGTCAGAAACTTCTGCCACTCATAGAGAATTATGATATTGCAGAAGGCCACTGGGTTATTGGCCTACATTTACCACCAACTTCCTTTATGGCCTTTTCTCCACTTCTCTGGACTCAGCTCTTCTGTCTGTACTAGGTGGGGGGTTGGGACCAATCATTGTATCGCAAACTGAAGAATCAACCCACATTTGTACTATTACCCATGTAATATTTTTTTAAGCCACCTTTTCTTAAAAGCAAGAATTAGCCTCCTCCAAAGAAATAACATGCATGAAATTTCAACTCTTGATATACTAGGTTTTTTCCCTAACATGAATCACGTAATTATCAATATAAGAAACATGCACCCAAATACCACTTGAAATCATTTTGTGAACCACCAGGAGCAGGTGTATCAAACTTTGGGACCCTGGGTAACTGATATGACAGAACATTTACACTTTTGGGGGCATTAAAGAGTCTTGATTGTTCTTCACATATTAGAGTCAGCAGAGTTACCCAGAACACACACACGAATAATTTTGGTCATGGTTTAAGGAGTTCATAGGCCCCTTTGTAATTCATCTGTGAACTCCAAATAAAAGCCCCTACACTGGATGTACAAACTGAGATCCAGAGTAGGATGAGTTTGCCAGAGAAGAAAGAGCAGAGAGCAGCCATCCTCTCCTCCATCCCCTGCAAAGCACACATTAGAGCAAGCACCCAAGACTCCTGGACAGGAACAGGAGGGGAAAGCCCTAAAGATTAGGCCTCAGGGAAAAACCACCACCATGTTTCACAAATTACCTGTTCTTTACCAGGTGCTGAACTAGGTATTTTCTATGTGTGATCTCTCAGCCCCAGTACTAGCAATATTTCTTAGATAGTGGCACATAGCAGTCAGTCTGTTTTCCAGCTGACACTAAAAACTGCTTGAAGGCTGATTTGCTACCTTGCAACAATTGGTTCTATTCTAAGGGTCCTGTACTACTTTACACTGCGAGGCCTGCTGCTTGGTAAGAGCCATCAGATTATAACTGGAGGGTATCAGTTGAATGAAGGAAAATGGGAGCCACGCCATCTTTGGCTTTTAATAAAATCACCCTTTTGCAACTTTCAGTTCCTGACATTAAAAACAAGCCATGCAAAAAGCTAAACTTTTGTAGACATTCATGCTTTTCTGTCAGGAGGAGGAAGATTAGTTAGAAAAAACAAAAAAAGGAAGATACTAGCCAGCATCAAGTAGTGGGATATGCATAGGCAGATGGGCACTGGGAATCAAGTTGCTTCTTAACTCCTTAAAGTGTGGTTCCTGCCTTTACTCTTTTATTGAAAAAAAGCACCTTTAAACCTCTAATTAATTGGTCTTGCAATTAATTCAACCAAATCAGCATGTATTAGACAACATGGAACAATTGTATGGTGGAACAAAGATGAAGCTAAAATTCTGCTAGCTCAGTGGCCCAATAAAATAAGTCTGCTATCTTCATTAAGCTTCCTCTGAACATTCTAGGGTCCATTATAATAAAAGGTACACCCTCAAATGCCCAGTTACTAGGGACTTGGGAAGCCATGATTTTCCTCCCTTCAAGCCTACAGAGCAGTTGCTTCACTTCCCCACCACCCCAGACCTCATTTCTTTTTCAGTCCTTTTGCTAGCTGCCTGCAGGGCTCAAGAAAGCCCTGGTAAGCCTCATAGTCAGAATTTAGGGATGACACTATAGTCCACAGCCTGAATGATGGAACCCTTACTAATTTTCCCTCTTCCATGATGAATGTGTGGATGAGGCTAGTGTGTTTTCAGTAATGCCACCTGCCTTCCAAAACAAATCCCCTAACACAGTCTTTGGACATATCACCCTGAATGCACCTGATCTTGGAAGTGAAACAGAGTCAGGCCCGGTTAGTCTTTGGATGGGGAAATATCTAGACACACCACTGGGAAACATTCACATGGCAACCTGATTCACTGTGTGTCCCTCATGCCTTCATTCACCTCCTCCCCTGTACTTCTAAGCTCTCAGGGACTGCTTTCCATGGGAGCAGCCAACCTGTCCACGGAAAGAGGATGGGACTAGAGATAGGAAACGTGGGTCCTGTTAACCAAGGAAACCTGCTCCTTGTAACCAAGGAACTTAGGCTACCCGCTCAGTCCCTATGTCAGCATCATCACCTATAAAATGGCCAGAAAAACATCTATCCTAGCTCAGAGAATTATTAAGAGGACAAGAAATCCATTTATTTATAACTGCTTTGATAAGTTTAAAGCACCATAAAATAATAATAGCAACAATACTGATGGGTAATATACTACTGCTTTCATGCCTCACCTCATTATCCCCTCCCCCAAACCCCATGATGGCATTAGTGTTTCGATTTTGCAGATGAGAAAATAGACTCAAGTTGTCAACCTAGCCAAGGGCACAAAGCCAGAGAGAGACAGAACCAGGACTCCAACTCAAGGTATCAGACTCTAAAGCTAGAGCTGTTAAAATATGGCTCTAATATATAATAGTTGCCAACATTTATTGAGCACTTATTATGAGCCAGGATTTGTTATACAAATTTCACACGTATTGGCTTATTTACCCCTAAAACTCCAGATGCAGATACTACTGTTCTCATTTTATAGATATAGAAACAAAGACAAATGACAAACAAATTTACACAGTTCACAAGTGACAAAGCCAGGCAGTGTTAGATAAAGTTCTTATCCACTATCCCCATCATAATCAGGTATATGTATGTGTGTGCATGTGTGCGTTTGTGTGTGTGTATGCATGTAGATGGAAGTTACTGATTAGAAAACAAATCCCAGTAATGACCCATAAGCTCAATGAATGAAAACTTCATTGGTTGCCTGGGATGTGTCAGGAAGCCAGGCTTTAGGCAAGGGGCTGGAGTCACTGAGATGCTTAAGCCACTGGTCCCTACCCTCCAAGAGATGACACTCACATAGGAGAAAGTGCATATTGTAAACATATTTACAATGAGGTATGTACAAAGGGCAGAAATCATACAGAGGAAGAAATGGTTAATCAATGACTGATGAGAAAAGACTCTCAGAATAAGTGTCATCTAAGCAGAATTTTAACTCAATTTGCTCAACAAAGCATGATACAGAATTTCCAATAGGTAGACCAACATATACCAGAAAATGAAACAAAATCCATATGGCATGGGAACAGAAAGCCAATGTTTCTCTCCTTCCATTAGAAACACATTTTCAACATACTAGAACTAGCCTGCCCCTTTTTCCTTTTGTTCATCCAATAACAAACATTTATTAAGCCTTATTTTTAACCACTTTTTTTAAATGTAAAATGGATGGAAAGACTAAAAGGAAACCAGTATCTCCTGGGCAATTATTGTAATGACAGGCATTGGGAGAGGCACTGTTTTAAATCATTGTAATCACTTGGTAGGTAGATGTCTCATTTTTATAGGGAGAAACAGACTCAGAAGGGTTAAACGACATAGTCAGAAGTTTTATCTAGATCTCTCCTGTTCCAGATCCTATACTTCTTCCATCACAGTGATTAGTAATGCAGAGATACCTTGGCTTGATTATTTTCCCTAGCGTGAGTACTCACAAACACGCAATTTCTCTGTGACTAAATATTTCCTGACAGCTGACCAAGAATAAAAATTTGGTCTGTCATCAAAGCAGAGCGTGAAGTCAAGTGGCTCACAGGTCTCCAACTCCTGACCCTGACCTTATTATGACTGATTAACTATCTCCCAACTTAGATATTCCATGCCCCATTGGTTAAACTGCTGGTGGCAGAACCATGGTGATCTGCCATCTCTGCTGATCCCTGCCTCAGCTGCAATCAAAGCAATGATCACCATCAGGCCAGAAGCAGAGGCTTAGCCATTGCCAAGACAGATCCCAGTCTACCCCCAGCCTTCCCGCATCTGCTACCCATTCCCTGAAAAGTCAACCTGCTTTTTCTGGAAAACAGCACCCACTGATGCCCTCCCTTGCTTGCCCATCTCAAGCCCTCTCAGGTGCCACGCCAATCATCTTGGCTGCTGCATTTGGTTTGAGACAGTGGAGAGTACACTTCTTCAGAACTCATCTTCGGCAGAAACCTGAAAATTGTAGGAATGGGCCATGAGTGCTAGGATTCTTGCTCTGGTTGGCTAGGGATGCACTCTCTTCCAGCCAGAGTAATAACATTTTTGTGGGAGTCATAGAATCATGGAAGACCCAAGAAGCTGGAGTAGAAGGGAAGGGGTGCTGCCTCACTGGTAAAAGGAAAAGCACCATTTTGGAACTCTAAATGATTGCTCAGTTGGGTGAATTTCATTCATTCATTCATTCATTTAGTAAATGGTTAATGATTATTCATGTACCGCCTACCAAGCCTGTGCCAGGGTGGTCTGTGGAAGCAGAAGTGACAGTTCCATCTTCACACAGCTCACAGATAGTGGGAGGTGCAGACAAACTCACTTGCAATGGTAGCAGTGGAATGTCAAGAGCCCAGGATACCGAGCCTGCCTGCCTGCCTGCCTGTGATAAAATCTGAGCTCCATCACTTAAAAGCTGAGCAACCTAGAAAAATGACAACTTCTCTGTGCCTCAATTTTCTTATTGAATGGATAAGGATAAAAATGACATCTATCTAATAAAATTGCTGTGAAGATTGAATGATTTAATATACACAAAGCTCTTAGAAGGGTGCCTGGCACACGAATATGCATTCAGTGCACATTTCTTGCTACAGTTCTGCTAATCCTGTAAAACATATGCACTGTGATGAATGTGTCTAGGTGCCAGGAGGACACAAAAGAGTACCACCTCACCCAGACCAGAAGTTTCCCAGAGGAGGTGATTCCCAAGGTGAAATCTGAAAGATAAAGTGAGTGAGTTATCTAGGGGAAGAGAAAGGAAAAGCATATTCCAGACATCAGGATAGAACAGTGCAGGCAAAACAGCATATGGGGTGTGTGTGGGTGTGTGTATGTGTGTGTGTGTGTGTGTGTGTGTGTGTGGAATTTGCAACACTCCAGTGTGACTCATTAGTAAAAAGCAGGAAGGCAGACCAAGAGAAATAAGGAGACATAATAAGGTAGACATGATAAGGTAGATAGTTGTGTGATTTTACTAATGCTTGCTCTGAAAAATAATAATGCATGGACTTAGTGAGGTTCACACATCAGAAGCTTCACCAACAGCCAGGCTATGAAGCACTCAATTGAGGAGCTATGGTTTCCATAACTTAGCAAATACTTATAGTCCAGCCACAGGGGATATACTGATAAACTCAGCTCAAATGTCACCTCCTCAGAGACTCTTT